ATTATTTTAGAAAGCAGGCCAGGAAAGGCCTCCCTGAGGTGTCATTTGGAGACCCGCAGGAAGAGGCAGGGACAGGCCCCTCCACAGCCCCCACCCTTGCATACCCAGCCATGGCTTCACACGCCTGCGTGCAGAGCGCCCGAGCCGGACCACAAAGGTCCAAGCTGCTGGGCCACACTTCTTCCCTGGCAGGTTCCCTCTCGGGGGACACAGGGTGTGACCAGAGCAGGGGCGGACGCACTTGGCTGGTACATTTCCGGGCAGCAAACTGTGGCAGGGATGCTGCCCCTTTCGTAAGTCTCCTATCCCTAGTCAAAGGGTCATGTAAGGAGAATATGGCTGGGGGCATCCCAAGAGCAAGCTCCTCTCTGGGTCCGGCACAATCATTCACCCTTGAGGCATCCACCTCCCCCGTTTCTCCCCTTTCTGTGGCAGTGACGTAACCCATTCTCCCTAACTCATCAAGGTCAGCCCCAGGAAGGGACAGGAACACCAGAAAGGTGGGACAATCAGCATTTTGCTCTGAAGGGTTTTTTTTCTTTGAGGCAAAATGTTTTTCAATTTCACGTACAATTGCTAATAAAGAAGGACACACCTCTATTTGAAGGAGAAAGGAAGATGGCGTCAGGTAGTTAAGGCAGCCAGAACCCAGGAGAACACAGGGGCTTGGGCTACTCTGGTGCCCAGGGTGAACTCAGCTCCTTCGGGCTGCAGCCTGCAGCAAGGCCACGCCACCCCAGAGGTGGCTGATGCCCCTGGGCATGCAGAGCCACCCTCCAGAGCTCAGCCCAGGGCTCTGGCGAGGTGGCAGGGAAAACCCTCAGTTTCACCCACCTTGTCCCTTCCCCTTCAGCCTGCATCCGCCCACCCGTCACCCATGAGCTCACCCGCCCACAGGCTGCCTGGTGGACGTGGGGATCTCACTCGAGGCTTTCTGCTGGAGACGGCAGCAGCTTTCCCCTTCTACACTCTCAACTACCTTGAGGACTTTATTCCCTTCTCTCCCCCACAGAGCACCCTGCATTCTGCCTTCCTTCCCGTCACTACCACACCTCTCCAGATCTACTCAGACACACATATAACACACACAGCCACAGAGCACGAAAAGGCAGGCAGCCTCCCACCTAACCACACGCACAGGGTCAACAATCCCGTGTCACCCGAATGGAGGCACACCTCTGTTTGACAAAATACAAACACCCTTCCGGCCCCCCACCCAAAAGGCAACACAAAGGGCACCAAGAATTTCAAGACTTAGTATCATCTACAGAGCGGAGAGCTGGGTAGGACAAAGACATCGCTCCATCCTCTCGACGAACCACGACAAGTCTCAGGGCTATTCTGCAGTGCCCTCTGGTTTGACACAGCCCACTGATCAGGGCTGTGTGTGTTGGTGTGTGCGAGAATGCGTGCCATGTGCATGGGGGAGGGGGCTGTGTCTACTCTCCAGGCATCAGACCTCCCCAGAGGTACCCCAGTCCAGACTCTGCTTTCCCCTGTAACCTTCCTCCAATGTGCCGCAAACATAGATTTCATGGATGGTTAAATTGGATCATTATCACCGGGTGCTTATTTGGCCAAAAAAAAAAAAAAATCATTAATGTCAACTACCCCCATTCCAATCCCCTCCTCATGAGGTCCCCGCCCCCAAAGACTCTCCAACATGCTAATCCTATGAACTGCGACACACCACAGCTTTCGGGAAAGAATAATGGCGAGAGGAAAGAGGAGAGCGGTTGCGGGGAGAAGATGAGGCTATAGCATTACTGCATTCCCCTATGAAGATGAGGGAAAGAAGCCATGGTGGATGGAGGTAGAGGTGGGGAGAGGGGGGAAAGGGGCAAGAAATGAAGCCCTTGATCGACTGTGTGCGGGGGAGAGTGTGTGTGCAAGAGTGTGTGCCAGTGCGTGTGTGGATGTGCCGACATAGCCCTCCTATCAGAAGGCTGCATCCGTGTGGCATGTAGGAAAGGCCATCGCACCACTGTTGTGTTGGAAAAAAAAAAAAAAGAGCCGCAGAGCCATCAGAATCAGAATTTTCTCATGGAGATGGAAAGGGCTGGAGGAAAGGGGGAGGGGTATGTAGGGTAGGGGAGCAGTGCATGGATTTAGAAGGCAAGATGATGGCAGCACTGGGGGACGATGGAGGGGGAAACTGGTGGTGGGGTGGAAAGAATCGCACACACACAGAGACACAAACACACACAATGCCCGAGCACCAGCACCACCGCTGCACTGTGCATCCAGGACTGACAACTGGTCCCCCATCCCTCCGCTGCCTCGCTGTGCCCCAAAGCTGGAGCCGATGGATTTCTGTATCTCAGTTTTGCAGCAGTGGGCTAATTACAACCAAGCCCCCTCACCAAATTAACCCCTCCCCTCCCTCTCTTTTTTTTTCCTCTAAAAGGCCAATTGAAGAATAATGTGTTTTTAGAGATAATGGATTTTTTTCAAGGAGCGAGAGAAAGGGGGGATGCAGGACAGAAATTCTGCAAACCGGTGACTTCCAGCCTCACCTCCTTGTCCCCTCACGTCCCCACTCGCTGGAGCATCTCATCTACCATTCTCCGACCATTCCCTTGTCCCCCACCACCCAAAAGAAAAGACCTTCCTACCATGAACATCGACAAACACATCAACCGCCACCCAATCTCAGTAGCCGATCTCAAAACCCCAAGCATCAATCCACCTCGATACATCCTTTCCCTTATATAAGCAGCAAATCATCAACATAGTCAGTAGAAACGCAGCATTGAAAAGAAATCAACAAAAACAGAGGCCAGACCCCATCAAACCCCCAATAATTAACAACAGGGAGCTACCAGAGAAGCAAAAACGTAGTTGTCTTTCAAAATCTAGAATCCCTTTGATTTCTGTCCCCTCTTCTTAAGAAGCAATTTTCTTAAATTATCATTTCACTAGGAAGGGCTGGAAAGCTCCAGAAAAGGGCATTCGCACAGTCCAGTTGTTTAAAAAATAATAACCCAGCCCTGTTGCTCACTTTAATAGCGAACTTCCATGTTCAGCCTTTTCCCCTCTTCCAGAAGGAAGACTGGTTCATAGGACAAACCCAGGGCTGCAGAAAATGGGCCAGGAGCCCTTACTCCACTCCCCAACAACAACAAAAAATCAAACAATAGGACTATCTCTGCACAACCAGCACCCGCCTGAAATATCGTTCACCCCGATATGACTTAGGCAGATTAAGCCTGAAGATTAAAAAAAATATCAGCTTTGCTCATCGTTCTCCCCGCCATCCTCCCAACACGTACCCAGTAGCCCTTAGGTAAACTTGCCCATCACAACCAGCGGGACCATTATAACTTGAAAGGCGACGCAGAAGCTCTTGAAGGAGGAAGGGAGGCTCTACCCAGAAGAGCTAATTGAAAAAGGGTTCTTCGGGCTCCCCGGACTAACCTCCAAGTGCCCCCAGATAGATTATCCCAGGAACCAAGTCACCTGGTGCGCTGGGAGTTCAAATTTCCTTTAGAACCTTCATCACAAAGGCAAATGGTCATCTGACCCCAAAACTACACCATTGTCCAGGTGTGACAAGCAGTGCCCCTCTCCCTCCCAGGGCCACCTTCAGGACCCTGGGCAGCAAATGAATTAAGAATGTTGGGGTGGCTTGTGGTAGCAAAAGAAACGCTATCTCCCCAAAGTGGGAATAACTGAGGAAGCGAGGACAAGACAGCTCCCGTTTGATCAGCCTTCTTATTTGGTCTGACTGGACTTGCTCCATCCTAAGGCTACCTCTCAATGATCTCTGACTTTACATATTAAAAATAAACAAATAAAAATAAAGATCAGGGAAGAGGAAACCTACTTCACCTAAATCCTAATAATTGTTCGCAAAAAAATACAATTTTCTCATTGCATGACGATATTTCTGCATCCAAATCAAAAGAGATAGGTATTTAATGGAGGAAGGGAGAAATTTATTTTTTTAACAAGTAATCACAGGGTAAGTCACCTGCAAAGCAGCCAAGCCCATAGGTTGGTATTACATCACTGGCCTAGGAAGAGATGGGGGTGGGGGGACAGATTATTTTTCCCTTGTCATCAGGATGCTGTTTCTAAAGCAGTTAAGTTTTGTGGTTAAAAAAGAAAGAGGGAAAGAGCTGAAACTCTGGGTATAGCACAATGCCTTGGAAAAAACAATACATCGAACCAGGCTTTAAGGTCACTGAGAGCTTGCAAAACCCACAGTGCTTACACAGAGTGGAAGTTTTCAGGCAAGCCTGCTACTAAATCATTAATATAAACAAATGGAAGGCAGAGGAGGAAGATTCCCTTGTAACTGATCCAAACAGGAGCGCACACGCGCACACACACTCGCACACACACTCCCTCTTCACCTTCTCGGAGTATGCCCACCTTCACAACAAGAGAGCAGGAGTCCAGACTGAATTTTTAGAGTCAAGAACAACCTCCTCACACCCCCTCCAAAAAAAATAAAATCATACACACACACACACTCACTCACTTCAGTTACTCAACAGCTAGGGAAGCCCCAGTCTCAATTTTGTCTTCTTGTGATCCTCAAGAATCCTTTCTCTTTCTAACCAGCCCCCTCCCCAAGGAAGAGAGTGAGTGAGTGAGAGAGAGAGAGAGAGAGAGAGAGAGATCAAAATGTCAAAAAAAGTATCTACCCAAAATGAAGTGATGGGCACACATCATTTTAGACTAACAATTCGAGCAAATAGGAAAAAGACAAGAAAAAGAAGATAATAAATCTAAAACACGTTCTGACTTTCCCAACATCTGGAGCAAAAGGACCCAACTTTCAGGAGAAACTGAAGGAAAAGCAAGCCAGGGGAAAAGCTATTCCCATGGTCAGCCCGGCTCTTGGAACCAGGATTTAAAAAAAAAAATCTAGGTTGGTCGCTCCCAACTGAAAACTTCTACCCTCTCAGGAGCAGCCTCTTCCCTGAACGGAGGAGAACCTTGAGTTGTTTCACAGCCTTGCTGCCTTCCTCCGGAACCCTCCCAAATCTTACCTTCCCGTTGAATGGAAGAGTTGGAATCTGTTTGTTTGATGTTTAATCAGTTGAGTTTGCTGGGTGTTTCCTCTCTGGAAAGGTTCAAATTCCAGAATCTTTCTCTCTCCTTTTCTTTTTCTCTCTCTGGGAGGCAGTGGCGGGGAAGATGGGAGGGGTGTTCGAGGTGCGAAAAGCAAGTCCTCGGTGGCTGGAGATGCCAGCGGCTGCGAGAGGGGAGGACACGCTGTCTCTCCCTCTCAGTGAGTTGCATGGGAGAGATGTGTAGGGCTGAGCTCTGAGCCTGAGACTGCCGGAGGAGCCCAGGAATTTCACGCACTCCAGAGCTGGCCCCTCCCTCTCCCACACAGACCCCGGCATTTAAAGAGACAGCCAGGCTGCCTGGCTCAGGGCTTCACCTCCTCTCTGGCGGTTTTGCAAACAGCTGAGAAGACATAATTAAGGAGGGGCGCTCTGCAGCCCCCTATGACTAAGAGGTGACTAAGAACTCAATTCTCCCCTCACCAGAGCCCAAGGGGAGAGCTTTTCCCTAGACGTGGAGCAGGAATTCAAATAAAGACAAAATCCACACCAACAGCTTCGGCACATTAAACCACCACCCTCCTGCTGAGGGTGTAGGAGCCTCATTGCAGACTGAGGAGGTGGAGAGAATGGTAACCTACAAGTGTGCCTCAGTTTCCCTGATTAGTTGCTCCCCTGTGCAAAACCAGGGCACTCCTTGAGCCTCTGGCAGAGGTCAGGACTGTAAGTAGGACACAAATCCACTCTTCTAAGGAGCGCCTTGAGTGCTGGCTTAGAATGAGGCACAATGCGAGGGGTTGAGGACATAGAATGTGACAAATGAGTCTGTCCTTCCAAGGGACTCTAGCAGTGGAGACAGATCCAGGTAAAACCAACCCCACCGCAAGGGGCCTGCGAACTAAGGAAGAGAGGCAGGGCTCAAGAGCCTGGGTGGGTCGGGAGGATGGCTCGCCTTTGTGGCTTGAACCTAGAGCTCAGGGCCTAGGCATTTCCCCCGTGCTCCCAAACCCTTAAAAATCTATCACCAGCCTGATGAACTAGTCCCTGTGTGGGGAAGTCTTTCCCCAGCCAAGTCTAAACCAGGGATGACAGTCAGAGGCACCAAACAGAATGATTCTGTTCAGCATCAGGCTGTGGTGCCCATTGAGAAGACAGCACCAACTCCCCTTCTCTCTTCCCCTGCCTCCTCTTTCTATGGCCTGCACTAGTGTGTCCTTCCTCCCTCCGGTCAGCCCCAATGGCAGGAACAGCCACTAAAAGCTATTGAGCATTTACTATAGGCAGCATGTGGGTCACCTCATTCACCAAGGTGGAATAGCACCACTGAGGTTGGTGCTAGCTGAGGTCCATTTTACAGCTGAGTAATGGAAGCATTAGAGAGATTCCCCAAGGTCACGTGGAGATTTCTGAGAACAGCTTGGAATTCAGGTCTGCCCAACCAGAGCCTACCTGCTTAGCTGGTGCTAAATCACCACCCTTCCATACATTTCTGCTCCTTGCCAGATATTCTCCCAGCATCCTAACACTATCCCAACCCAGAAAACTTTAATGGTGCATGCCCTAAACATTGTGTTCACAAGACACAGATGAGCCCCTGCTTCAAGGAATTCCACTACACTTCAGGGGATGACAAAGTTGTGTTCCTGTAAAGTAAGGCTATATAACAGTCAAGAGAGCAATGTAAAGGGACCTCTCTGAGACTGTCAGTAAACAAGTGATTATTTTGATCTAGAAGCAGGGTATATAGTAAGGCAAGCTTGGTGGAGTCATGGCAATTTGGGCTGAGCCTGGATGGACATAGACAAGTCCAACATTACTAGTCTACTTTTCAGTCTGTTTTGCCTTTCAGAACATAATCTCAGTTTCTTATCTTTTTCCCAATCTTTGATACTTCTGTGTACCCAGCGCCTGCAGGAGCATAAACAAATACATAGTGGGTTAATCATACATGGCCACTGACTTCCCACCTGTTTAGACCCAAATTGCCTCAGCCCCAGATCTACATCCTCCTTACCTGGCCCTCCTTAAAGTTTGTGCGTCTTATTTGTTCTCAGGATATGAGAGAGCAACCCAGAATGCACAGGAGCAACATCCAGGGCAACTGCAAATTCGCCTTTGGGATCATCAATAAGAGACCCAAAGGATCCAAGGGAAGTGAGGGCTCTGCAGATGTCAGCTCCTGTGGGAATCCTCCGGCAAACACCAGCATGGCAAGGACATCCCAGTAAGAAGTCTGCTGCGTGACTGGAGGCAGCCCTAAGGTTGAGACATGCATGGATTCCAGTCCCAGCTTGGCCACCTAAATTCCATGTTGTCTGCATAATTTTCACTACCTTCTCAAAGTTTCAGCATCCTCACTCATACAATGGAGATAACACCTGTATTTCCTTCATGGGAGTGTTGTGAGAATTTGATAACACGCATACAGAATCCTACCCCACAGAAGAACTTAGCAAACGTTCCCTATCTCAGCTAAGAGATCGGCTTTTGCCCCTGCATAGGATTACTAAATTTGGACTGCCCCCTATAGTTAGCATTCCTTTATTTCAGGTTCATGACATCACTTTTAATATTTTAATTCATTACAGCGTCAATGTAGTTACTATGATTTACTTGTTTTTAGCCCACTTGCTTTCTGTCCTATTTTACCTTGTGTATTTTGAATATAATTGCTATTATTTTATTTCATTTGGTGGTTTCTCAGCCTTCTTAAGCACTACTTATCTTTCAATGATTCTGGTGTATCTTTTTAGTCTGCCTTTTATCATAAAATCTCTGGGCTCATTTTCCCCAATTCTTCCATATTATTCTGACTAACTACCACTCTGCTCATTCTAGTGATGCAGCATTCCCCCAGATGGCTACAAATTCACAAGGATGGATATGTACAAAATAGCACAGAAAGACAACATCAAAGAGAATAAGCCAGGTCTCCTTGCAGGCCTGTAATGCAGCCATAAGCAAAAAGTGATATCAGGTGTCACATCAGCAATGGTGCTGGTATTTTTAAAGGAGGACTCTACAGAGGCAACTAATACTCTCAGAGACTCTGGGCCTTCTGTGCTGTCATCTCTGTCCTGGGCTGCAGAGGTCTTGGTCAAGAGGGCATTAGGTTGTATGACTGTCATCCTCACTCATAACAGGCCAGCGACCTCCTTTAGATTTTTCCAATGCACAAGGCCAGTGTTTTCAGCAGTAATAACAACCAACAAAATCATTACCAGTCAGAAGGATGAGTTTCCCATAACATTCAGGGAAAATAGTATTATAATGGTATTCATAGCAATAATAAGAACATTTACCACTTACTACTAGTCACCCCTGCTGGCCCTCTACTTAGAAGCATCATGGTTAAAATGACAAGATCTATAAACAGGATATCCTGATTCAAATTTCAGCTCTACAATTTGCAGGTCGTGAGACGTTGGCCAAATAATTAACATCTCAGTCCTCAGTTTTCTCATCTAAAATGGGAATGATGATGATACCATCTTCAAACACTGCCTGTGAAACATATACCAAGAAAGGCACAAACAAAAGAGAGAAATACAGGCCAATATCCCTAACTAACATAGACACAAAAATCCTCAGTAAAATATTAGCAAACAATGCAGCAAATCATCAAGAAAATTATACACCATAACCAAGTGGGATTTATCCCAGGAATGCAGGGATGGTTCAACATACACAAACTGATAAATGTAATGCACCATATCAACAGAACCAAAGACAAAAATCACATGATCATCTCAATAGATGCATAAAAAGCTTGTACAGGAAGCATACCTCACAGATCAAGAGAAAGCACTCCTAAAATGCATTTGGAGCCAGAAGAGACCTCGAATATCAAAGGCAACCCTAGGCAACAAAGGCAAGGCAGGAGACATCACAATCCCTGACTTAAAATTATACTACAAAGCTACTGGGGTAAAATCAGCGTGGTACACTCAAAAAAGAAAAAACAGAGCTGAGGATAACTGGAACAAATTAGAAGATGCAGACACAACTACAATCACACTCAGCCACCTTATCTTTGACAAAGGGGCTGACCATGTTTATGGAAGAAAGATAGTCTCTTTAATAAACGGTCTGGAGAAACTGGTTTTCCACATGCTGAAGATAGTACCATGCACTAAACTAAATTCAAAATGGATCAAAGATCTAAATATTAAAACAGAAACACTAAATCTACTGGAAGAGAAAGTAGGTAGAAACCTTGAAGAGGTATGGGTAGGGAGAGAGGTCATGAAGAAAACCCAAATTGCAAGGGAAGTATTTCAAAGAATCAACTGGCATCTCATCTTATGGAAAAGCTTTTGTACATCAAAGGAAATCACCAGCAGAGTGAAGGACATCCCACATAGTGTGAAAAAAATTTAGCCAATTGTCCTTCAGACAAAGGGCTTCTATCTAGAACATGTAAAGAACTGAAAAAATTCAGGCCCCCCAACTTCAATGACTCAATCCAAAAATGGGCATCTGAGATGAATACACACTTTGCAGATGCAGAAATACAAATGGAAAATAAATACATGAAAAAATGTGCAACATCATTGTTTATTTGAGAGATGCAAACTAAAACAACACTGAGATTCCATCTCACCCAAGAAAGAATGGCTATCATGAAGAAATCAACCAGTAACAAATGCTAGTAAGGCTGTGGGCAAAAAGGAACACTTCTCCACTGGTAGTAGGAGTGTAGACTGGTACAGCCACTGTGGAAATCTGTGTGGAGATTCCTCACAAAACTAGGATTAGAGGTCCATTTAATCCAGATATACCCCTTTGGGGTTTTTTCAAAAAAAAAAAAAAAAGAACAATAAAAACATCATACCACAGTGATATATGTGCACCCATGTTTATAGCAGCACAATTTGTAAAAGCTAACTCTTGGAAACAACCCAAATGCCCATCAACTGAGGAACAGATAAAAAAGATGTGGTATCTTTATACAATGGAGTACTACTCAGCTATAAAGAAGGACAAACTCGAGGCTTTTATAGGTCAGTGCATGCAACTTGAGACCACACTCATAAGAGAAATAAATCAGACTCACATGTGCAAACATCATATTGTCTCCCTAGGGCAAGAAACTGAAAGAGTAAATAAAATTCAAAATGTACAATAGATAATTTGAAATGGAAAGAAACTGCTGAAAAGGAAAGAACAACTGAAATGAGGGAAAGGAGAAAGGATATATATGATAGCTAAGATAATTATACCACTAATTTCTAGTAGTTCATTGAAAA